GATTCCAACACCTGTAAGAACGGCACCACCACCGCCGATGGAAAGTCCGGTAAGAACAAATGAGTCTACTGCTATTTTCGAGCTGGCAAAAAACGTTAATTAGCCTAATCCAGAAAAGCAAAAAGGAACAGCGAGAGCATAACGCTCGGCTAGAGGCTATGATGAGGAACATGTGACCCATCGTGGTGCGTGCCCCTCCGATCCAACAAGGACTATCCCCGGCCCCTGCTCTCGGGGGAGCTGCGAGCAATCTGAACGTCTGTTTTGCATGCCATCAACTAGGGCATCTAGCCCGTGACTGCCCCCACCGGCCCCCACAACAACGGGTCGGGATCGCATCAATGGCAGCGGCCCCCATCGCTGACGGACCTGGCCAGGTAGGAGCCCTGATGGAAGAGATGGAAGGTGGGGAAAGTGCGTTAGCAACCACGGAGGAGGCTGTTGAGCTCATCCCATTAGATCAGTATGTATTGCTTGGTTATCCTGGGCTCGTAATGATCAGAACGACCAGACCGGCGCCGGGACAGAAAGAAGTGGCGGAGTGGCGACCCTCTCCAGGAGAGATAGAGTCGGGAGGACCCACCTTCGGGAAATCGATGTGCTAAACATCATCCGAGCTTTAGATCACCGGATTCCACTTCCGATCGTCCACCTGCTCTCGATCTCCGAACAGGCTAATTAGCGGATGCTACAACACTGTAAGACGAACCGAAAACGATTCGCCCTCGCCCGAACCGCGAACGTAAAGGCTAAGAGCCCCGCGCCAGATGAAAACACGGCTGGCACGACGGATCCAATACGGGTAGGACTAATATAGAAAAACGACAATTTCTTGTGGATTAAACCTATCTCGTGGAAATCTGCGGAATGCTATATTGAAATATGGGAAATTTCGTACAATGTAATCATTGATTCGGGAGCTACTGTTTTGGCTATCTCACTGAGAGTAGTTGAGAGGGCAGGTAGGAGAAACGATCTGATCCTGCTTACAGAGAAGGATCAGCTCGTTTCGACAGACGAAGAAAAAATTAAAATGGTGGGAAGAATGACCAATGTCGCTTTCCGATTGGGAAAGGTGCATGCGTTAGGTGACGTCGTGGTATTAGACATAAATACCTACGACGTTCTTTTCGGACTTCCCGCTCTTGTGGCATTACGAACAAACCTGGATTTCGAGCAACGGTCAATCATCCTCCAAAATACGGGAGGAAAGCCCTATGCTGTACCTATGAGACTGACTCTTCGTACTACCATCAACGCAGTCCCGCGAGTCTCGCCGATGGTAGCAGGGACTCTTCGTATGATCACCTGGGAAGACTCCGCAGACGATGAGCCATCATCGAGGGATGCGGATAGTAGTGACGAAAATGATCCAAAAATCCTGAAGCTAGCACGACAGCGTATTTGTTACCCGCCGCCCAGAACGATCGCAAGAACGATGCATTTAACCAGTCGGAACATCCAAAGGACCAAGGCGATGATGTTGGGTGAACCCCTCGTACAAATTTCGAGGATGGTCGACTCCTTGGAACCCCCTCAAACCCTGTACAAAGGAATCTCCCCTCTCCTCGCCCGATACAACGACAAAAAGCACTACTGCGATATCACAGATCTACCATAGTCCCTGCTGACACCTGCAAAAGAAGTAGGACCGCTACGCTTGGGGGCCGAAGCCAGTTCTTTGGAACCTTGGGTGTCTTGAGGCTGAATCAAATGAACTCGGAGTAAAGATTGCAACTAAAACCGTACCGTGGCAGGATATCTGCGATGGGATCACCTCGGAAGGACACGTGGCCATCTTGGAGGAAGACGCCCAAATGATGGTCACGGTGTTCTCCTGACGATCGGACCATTCGTTTATCTCTACGCCACTACCCGATGTGGCGAAACAGACACGCACGAAGCAGATCGACGTATGGATCTGGGATCAGCTATTTGAGTTACACGTCCCACAGTACATACCTGATGAGATTCACCAGGTGATTGCGGATATTTTGACGGAATATCAGGGAGCGATTAGCGTAACCGATACTGATATTGGCTTGTCGTTGGTTATTCAACACGAAATTTAGACGGGAAATCATTCCCCAATCCTCTGTAAGCCCTACCAATACTCCCTGATAGAACGAAAAAAGACTCTCGAACGAATTCGGGAATTCGAAGCAAGCGGGTGGATCGAACCGGCCACCGGACCATGGTCATTTCCCGTAGTGTTAGTGCCGAAGAAAAACGGATCAATTCGCATATGCATCGATTATCACAAGCTGAATGAAATCACGATTAAAGATGTGCATCCCCTCCCCCGGATTGATGATTTGCTGGATGCGATTGGATGCGCTAGTTATTTTAGCAAGTTTGATGTTCGGCATGGCTTCCATCACATTCTGGTTAAGGAGGAAGATAGGACGAAGACGGCCTTCGTGCTGTTTGAGGGCACGTGGCAATGGGTTCGGTGTCCGATGGGGATTTGCAACGCGCCTGCCACGTTTCAACGAGCGATAAACATGACATTCCAGAACTTCGTCAACAAGACGCGGCTAACTCAGGGAATGATAAACTTCTGCGTGATCGTATACATGGATGATATCCTTGTCTACTCGGAGACCAATCACGGGCATGCACAACACATTGAGTGGACGTTGGGAGCGCTGAGGGACGTTGGGTTCAAGATCGCACTCGAAAAGAGCGAATTTTTCCTCTCGAAAATTTTGTTCTTGGGCTACGTCGTGACACGTGGAGGATTGCGGCCTGACTCGAGAAAGGTCACGGCGGTGAGAGAAGCTCCGGTTCCCATGTCGCTGACGCAGGTTCGAGCCTTCTTGGGGTTGGCATCGTACTATCGCCGTTTCATCAAAGGCTTCGCCGCGATTGCACGACCACTAACGAACCTGTTACGAAAGGACCAGCCTCTCAGCTGGGACGCCGAGTGTGAGCAGGCCTTCGCGACCCTCAAAGACGCTCTGGCGACGACACCTATTTTGATCCGACCGGACCCCTCGAAACAATTCATTCTTATCACGGACTGACAACCGGAAGCTATTTCCGCTATTCTAGCGCAGAAGAGGACCGATGGTCGCGAACATGTCATCAAGTACGCGTCGCGAACGGTGGCTGACGAACGGAGGAATGACTCAGCACCCCAAGGCGAATGCTATGCAGTAGTCTGGGGAATCCAGCACTTCCATCCGTATCTCTATGGGCAGAAGTTCTGCCTCGTAACGGATCACGAGCCCTTGCTGGCTTTGAAGAAGCTCACTAATTACACTGGCAGGATTGGACGTTGGGCGGTACGGCTACATGAGTACGACTTGGATATCATCCACCAGAAGACAGAGAGGCACGGCAACGCAGACGGACTGACACGTCTGCATCGGCCCACTAAAGTACCGAAGGGCGAGGAAATCACTCCGTGGAAGGAGTCAGAACCGGCAAACGGGCCTAAGTACGGACAAGTGGCAGTTCTCCCACGTGGCAAGAAGCAGACCGGTGGCAATGGATGACGGAGGTAACCACACTACTCCTCTTTCTCCCATCTCTTATTTGTCTATTCTCTCTCTGCCTGTTAGTGATAAATTTTGTTATTTTTGCGAAGCAATTTCTCGCGTATACTCTGTCTCCATGTGTCCTAACGGGGAGAGGTATGCGGAATGTATAGACTTCCGACAGTATATCGCACGAGCCCATGGCTCGTGCATCCAATACTGAAATGACAGTAAACCATGGTTATGCCCCTTGTGTCGGGTTGACAAGATCCCGACCGAGGCTTGCTTTCTGGATGCCACGTCAGAAGGAGACCCGGGAATTTCGAAGGGCCGAAGTATGGACCGACATCGCTTTGATTGCCACCTTAGTTGGTAACCCCCTCCAGGATTTCACCAAGGAAGATTGAAGGAGGGCTAACGAAAGGGCTCGGGATTATCGATGGATAGAGGGTAGGTTAGAAAAATGGAAAACGGACGGCAGTGGGATTTGGATGGTTGTACCGCATCCGTTCATGAGGTACGACAGGGTGAAGACAGCACATGAGGAAACGACAGCCCATTTTGCCGTATGGATTACAGAGTCAGCAATCGACAAAAGTGAGTGGTATTGGTCCAATATTCCGGATAATGTGAAATCCATCGTCACAAACTGTCAAGTCTGCGTTGTTGACAAGGCGCCGATCCAACCGCCAAGATCGATAGTTCCAACGGTAGTTGAGCGGTCGTTCCAGAGGGTGAGTATGGATACCACCGATATTGTGGTACCTTCCGGTCCTAATAGCTGTGAGTATTCAGTCCTATTGGTATTTGTCGATCATTTTTTGAAATGGATCGAGGCCTACCGTGTCGCACGCGACAAAATCGCGTGGTATGTTAACCGTTTTCTCGGGATGCACCAGGATACAGAAGAGATCTTGACCGATAACGGGGCAGAATTCAGAGGGGAAGTATTAAGGAACCTGGTCATACACGGTGTCGCTGTGCGGAACACCGCGCCCCATATGTCACAATCCAATGGGCTGGTAGAAAACGCCAACAGGGTGATAAAGACAGCACTGCGACGAAACATTGCGGCACGGGATCCGAGGCCCTAGCCCGATATCGTCGACCACATCCTAGCGGTCCATCGCGGAACGCCCCATGAATCGACGGGCCTGAGCCCCTTCTAATTAAGGACTAATAACGTCACGTGCGTTCCGATACCAAGCCTCCCTGACGAATCAACGCTTAACCGCCGGCCCACAAGGGCCACAGCGCGAGACAAGGTCAAGCGACACTTAGAGTTAATGGAACGGTCCCTCCCCAGGCTAGCCTGAAAATGCTAGAAAATGACGGAGTTGGCCCATGGCCGGCAGGTCCGAAGCTACGAGGCCCGGAGCGGGAATGCAGGTCCACGGCCCCAGTACAAATTAGGGGACATCGTGCAGGTGAGGAAATGTGCTCGGCAGGGCAAGCTAGCGCCACGATTCTTCGGGCGATTCCGTGTGATTGAGCTCGAACCCAACGGCGTGAACACTGTGCGGCTTGTGCTTGAGGTCTCCGGCAGCCGATTGGCTCGACCGATCATCCGCCACGTGTCCTACCTTCGTCCCCTTCCCCCTTCCCCATCTTCGCCTTCATCCGATTCCTCCTCCGCTGCGGAAGAGGATGATGACTGCTTATCGCCTGTCTCTGCGTCTCCTTCTCGTTCTCCTTCCGGTACTCCGTCCTCATCGCCATCGCCATGAGTTTTCTTACAGAGTGAGCTCTCGGCGATCCCCTGCTGGTGCTGCGGTCTCACATCTCGGAGATCCGACAAGTTCACCATCTGCGGCTCAATCCGGACCTTCGGCGACTTGCGCAATTCTTCTGTACTTGAGGAGTGTACGCAGCCGCTGAATTTCGCTTTGCAGGCAGTTCCTGGGTGGTTGTGTTGGCGAAGGCCGTAGCAGTTCATCGGCGGTCGGCTCCCGGAATCAGCCACGTGTCTACGGTGTTCGCCTTCAGTGGCGACATCAGTAGCATCAGCCCGCTGCGGCATACAACCATCAAGACGTCGCTCCGACTCTGGGCGCAGCAGTTGGTGGCGAAGTGGAATCGTTGGCTCATGCCCCACGGAGATAACCTTTTTCCCACGGACGACGTCGATCTCGACGGGATCCGAACCTTCCAGCACGATCCGGCGGTGGTGCTCCCGGAACTCATCCCCTTCCCCCGTCCTAAATGAACCCATCCCCGATCTCCACCTTCGACCTCCCCTCCTTCTTTCCCACTTTCTGGCAATCCGGAGTCCATCCGCACCTTTCGTTTTGTCTGGAATCCCTCGCTGTCCCCCTCCTCGATCCCCAGCAGTGGAGGCGTTGGCGAGAACACTTCGTAGAGTTGTCGATGTGTCTGGTCGGAGTAAGGGTCACGTGGACGCGGCACGAAGATCACCGCCAGTGGGCCGAGTACCTCGAGCTGCTTATTATCCAGGCGAGGCGAACGGGAGTGGAAGGCGATCTGCTCGGACTCCTCTTCGGATCGGTGCGACCCGATCATCGCCAACCGATCATAGAAGAGTTAACGGCCCCCCTTGCGCAGCTGGCCGACGATCTCCCCCTTTGAGATCGTCTCGCAGAGCGACGACAGACCGGTCCCGCACGTTCTCACGCGGACCTTGGCGTCATATCTTCAGTGGTCGGCGTGCTTAGAGGAACCAGGAAGCGGCTGCAACCCTTAATCACAGCGCGGTTATTTGGACCCGCACAAGATAGTCGACCTCGCCTTCTTCCAAGATCGGACGGCTTCCGAGAATGAGGAGGTAGAGATTGAAGCGGAAGAAGAAAGCTCGAAAGAAGAAGAAGAGGTCGAAGAAGAGGCCGATGAGGAAGAAACTCCCGAAGAAGGGAGTTACAGTGAGCACAACCAAGGGGAGCAAAGTGAAGAGGAGGAGGAAGAAAAGCAAGACGACGAAGAAGAAGAAGAAGATAAGGAGGAGCTGGAAGAATTGGAGTGGGAAGGATTCGAGGAGGAAGTGCGCGACGAGGCTCAGGCGCAGGCCCGGGCGCAGTAGAGGGAAGAAATCGCGGCCGAGAAGACACAGTTAGAGTTCGCCAGTGCAGCCGGCCAGCCGCTCGCCGACGATCTGGCCCGGGATCCAGAACCACCTAAGCCCGAGGATGGAGAGATAGCTGCCGAGACTTCGGCCGCACCAGCGTGACGGCGACGAAGCCGATCCCCCTCCCCCTCCGCCTCCGACCGCCCACCAACTCGTCCACGTGCCGATGCGGGGCATCGGGTTTCGTCCCCGGTCGTTATCCCGCCGTCCCCTTGACCACCTCTCCTTCCGCCAGATCTCTACTCGCGTCACCTTCCCCGACAACCCCTTCCCCATCGATACCTTCGGCTTCTTCTACACCACCCGTCTCGCTGTCACTGTTCATCCCCACCCTTCCATCCGATGTGCCCGCCCCGTCTTCTCCCTCCATATACTTTTCCTTAGTGCCGTGTGGCGAGGCCACAACATGATCAAGGTATACTGCATGATTATGGGGACTATCCCCGCATACGAGAACCACGATCACTTTTGCGCAGCGCTTTTCCGAACCTTTACCACCCTCTATCCTGACTACCTCGCGTCCCTCCCCCACACGGGCAACCGATTCCCCCGCCAGGAACTTCCGGAGACAGTGGTCGGAATGGAGAGCTTCCTTCCCCCGCTACCCATCAACCCTCCCTCGCGCCACCCCTCCCCTCCCCGACGCTCGCTGATGTATGAATGATGGGCACGCGTCATGACAACGACAGGTGTAATCCTCTTCTTGGATTGCCGATGACCCTCCCTGAGGAATTAGTAGTGGAGCTGTGTTGCCACGATGGACGACGTCCACACTCCTTCGAACGGTGCATGGAATAGAAAGACGAGCTCCGCGTGTTGATCGATTAGAGAGATCGACACGTGTCAACAAGCAAGTAGGAGCTTGCTAATATTGGAATCCCCTAGGCGCCACATATGTGACGAACCTCTTTCTGTAGCGCGCGACTTTCTGCGCAGTTACAATGAGGGGTCCTAAGCTAGGAAGGTTGGGCCAATTATGGAAGATTGGGATGGATAGGAAATTGCATCAGTACCCTCGCTTCTTCGTCTTTTTCATCGTTCTCTACGGATGGATGGGTCCAGGGCTGGGTGAGTCTCGAGACGATCGGTTGATTGGTCAGTTAGTGGCTGGTGCGCCGCCAAGCGCGCGATTAGTAAATGTTGACATTGTTTCTTTTTGGTTCGTTTTCGGAACTTTTTGGGCGCGGACATCGTGCGGGAATTTGCTTCGCTCTTTTCAAATTTTATTTTTGAATTCGTTTTTGAATATTGTCAAGGCCCGATGGCCCTCGAAATTTCGGACTTTCCTTCCGGAACTTGTGCTTCTTGCTTTTTCGCATTAAATAGAACGTTAGGAATTTTGTAATTAGGATTTTCTTTTGCCGCGCGACGCCTTTTGCTTACACGCTGCTTTATGCGGCTGCAACGGAATTCTGATTAGCCGGCGCCTTTAATCAAGGGTGTAACTGTAATTTTGGGTTGGCGCCATTGTAACTGTATCTTTCTTTTTGCGCTTCGTCTTTCCCGCCTTCCTTCTCTTTCTTTTGCTGCGTTTTTGTAGCCACGGAATGCATGCTCGGATCGATGCGTGGAGAGTGGCTACGTCCCCCACGCCGCGGCCCGGTCATGCAGAACGCAGGCGCTCCCTCTCTAATCCTCTTTCCCAAATCCTTGTAATTCTATGTTCTTCGCGCAAGCATGCACACTATAAATTCCGGCTGCGCAATTAGTTAGCTCTCTTAACCAGCTGTTGGAAGCTCGGGGTTGCGCGATTAGAGAGGGTCGGCACACGAGCGAAGTAAGAGGTGAGTAGAGAAGACTCGGAGTCGAGCGACCCGACGAGCTGGTGCCAAACGCGTGGGGTTGACGCGAGTCACGACGGACTGTGGGCGCTGGTGAACCTGACGGGTGGAGGAGGACTAAGCGGGGTGACGGCTTCGGGGGTTGGTGCGTGACGGCGGACTGTCCGCATCGGAGAGAGAGAGAGAAAGGAAGAGGGAGCTGAGGTTGATGGACGCGGATTTGCTGTTTTTTTTATCTTTTCACCCTCCTATCTCGTGTATATAAATTTTGATTTCGGCTCCGAAGGATCTGCCTGTTTTTTGTTTTTCGGAATTTGGACTTGGGTTTTGCTCACACTTGTCTTCGCGATCTCCATCTCAGATGCATTGTGTGTATGTTGCTGAATGAATAAATGTATGGATGCCATGTTTGATTACTTATCTTTCTACCGGATCCTTGCCTTTGCCTTTGTTCATTGCTCTTGATGCACTCGTGAGTAGGATAGGAATTTTGCGCGATTGGTAATCCTGTTCTCGTTTTGTTTGTCTTTTGATGAGGATGTGTGGTTGTTGCAAATTGCATGATAAAAAATTACGGAAGGATTAGGCAATCGGATGTCCGACCCAGCGAACGCCGCGCGAGGACGCGACCTGATCCGCGCATTTACACGTGCCCCCGTGCGTCGATTCGTCAACTCCGAAAAAGCCCATCGGCTGCAGAAGTAATGTCTGACTGGAAACGGCTATCCGGAGTCTGCCACGGAGAAATCATCCTGTGCGAACACTCATAAGCACGACTCGATTCGCGCAGCCTGCACGTGCTCGCACGCGGTGATCCTAACCAGCTCAGACCCGCCCTTAGGCATCTCATAGCTCTGCGATGATTAAATGACAGGCTCAGAGAGCTCGAAGTCATTGCTATATGACCCGGAATACTTCACCCTGTGGGTAAACGAAGTCCTCCGACAGAGATACCCCTGCCTAACCGAGAACCGACTGTGTCCTCGAGAGTTTCACTGCGCCACCACTAGCGACCCCAAGTGCTCTGATTTCCCCACTCAGGACCATACCCACTACTTCACCCACCCCGGGTCTGTCCTTATCTCCACCAGCTTCCCTCCCTTTCGCCTTCTTCTTCGGTATCACCAACTCAGCGTCGTTCCGTGGAAGGCCATAGCCCCATACTGGCCCAGCACGCCTTGCGGAAATTGCCGACGACGCGGCGACTTGAGGACCCCGGACTTCCGAAGGCCTAACCCGAACGCGCGGCGATCGGCGCCACGTGGCAATTCTCGACGGCCCGACTCATCGGAACCCCACCCACCCCGAAGGGACCTCCCCGCAAACCGTCGTCCTCGGAACCAATGTCTCGCCCGGCCGTGAGCGACCCGCGCATACCATCTGCCTTGTGATCAGAGGCGGTCCGCCCTCTCCGCCAAATTGCACTCGTGCCCCCGAAAAACCCTGCCACAAGAGATCTCAGCTCTGACCTGGGACTCCACCCTCACTTTCCCAAAAATCCTTGGCACACCCTTTTTCGACTTCCAGGCCCACATCCCACTCCGATCAGGAAGTCGCGCTGGGCGTGAGGTTGGGCGACACAGACTTACCTTGTCGTGCCCCTGGGGCGTGTGAAGTTTTCTGCAGGCCCCTGTTTGCATGAGGCGCAACTTTTCACGACACCCTTACTGAACCGCTGGTCGCGTTTCACTGGTCCCTCCACGAAATGCCCCCATGAAGAGCATGCATCTTTCTGTGATGCCCTTGCAGCAGTGGCAACAGAAATTGGAATTGAAAGTGGTTGGTTTTCGACGCTCCGCCACGGAAAATGCTGCTTTAGTCGATCTCGTAACGTATGCTGTTTGGAGTTCGCATTTGAGTTCACCGAATTCGAGTTCGCGTTCGAGAGTCCACCAAATTCGAGTTCGCCGCCGAGGGGCTCCCTGCCTTGGAGTTTGTTGGCTTGCCATCCGAAGGTGAGTGTGTGTGTGTGTGTGTGTGTGTGTGTGTGTGTGTGTGTGTGTGTGTGTGTGTGTGTGTGAGTGTGTGTGTTCGCACGTGTGCGCGCACGAGAGAGAGAGAGAGAGAGAGAGAGAGAG